TAAACCCAATGCCTCCATACATAAACTTAAGAGAAATTTCAAAAAATGCCATTTTTCAAGTGTCACTTTACAAAAATGCCATTTTTTCAAAATTATGTTTTCTTTATATTATTTATGTTTGGGTTAATTATGTTCTATTATGGTTTAGTTTTGAGTGTTTAGGGGATTTTAGGTGTCAAAACATTTTTTAGGGTTTAAAATTTTAAGATATATGTTTTATAAATCTATAATTAGTAGCATTTTTGTAAATGGACACCCCTAAGTGGCATTCTTGCAAATGTGCACACAAAAAGTGGTATTTTTGTAATTGCCTCTAAACTTAACAATATTTTACAATCAATTTAACTATATATATTATGCTTTTTCTTTGACCAGAAAAATATATTATGCTTTTTCTAAACAATTAAGTTTTGGCAATCCTTTTATAACTTCATAAACAATGTTTTTATCCAACTTCATGATAAATTTTTCTGGATTAATTAGCCGAAAATTATTGAATCTTTACAACATTATTTTATTAATTATCCTAAGTGGCATTCTTACAAATGTGCACACAAAAAGTGGTATTTTTGTAATTGCCTCTAAACTTAACAATATTTTACAATCAATTTAACTATATATATTATGCTTTTTCTTTGACCAGAAAAAATATTATGCTTTTTCTAAACAATTAAGTTTTGGCAATCCTTTTATAACTTCATAAACAATGTTTTTATCCAACTTCATGATAAATTTTTCTGGATTAATTAGCCGAAAATTATTGAATCTTTACAACATTATTTTATTTCATTTTAACAATTAACTCACTCGATCTTCTATCTACGAGTAAACAAAGCCCTTATCTTTCTTAACAGTTACAGATAAAAAGTTCCAATTTTTTTTCCCAATTCGGCCCAAAATTCGAAAGCTTTTTGGTTAAATCTGATAAACAAAAGCTTTGTTAATTCTTATCTGGGCTCGGCGGGAAAATCAATCGACTTTCCTCTTCCTCTAATTATCCCCAAATTAGGGTTTTGCTTCTCTCTCATTCTCTTCCACTGCCGTTTGGGTAATTCTGGAAAAAAACCCATCATGAGGAGATCGGTGAAGCGAGAATCGGAAGCAACCGGAGTCGGCGGTGGTAGAAGACAATCCGGCGAGTCGGAGCGGTTTCGGTCTGTGA